TGATCGGGATTAATTAATCATCCTTTTTATGTTTGTCTACAGATATGAAAAAGGTCTAAACATCTTGAAAGGAAAACAGCTCGGTCGTTCAATTTACATTCCCGTTGGGCCAATTAAAATTCCTGCCGGTATCTTCTTGGAAATAACAGGATATGCAACTGCTGGATTATCTGTAAGTTGGCGATGCAATTCACTAACGTTTTAGTTTAACCACTGACCTTGAAAACATCATAGCTCTCTCATTTAATGCCTATTATATAAAATGATTGTACGCTGTTATGAAACACTTCAATGAGTTACCACAAGCAAACGTATTTCCTCTATTGCTTACTCAGTCACAGTCAGTGACCCAGTCAGCAAGCTACTCAGTCAGTCAGCTACTCAGTTTTACTATATTTTGGTTGGTTGGTGCGAAATCAATGATGGGATGTAATGATTGCGTCTTACCTGTTTTAGTTGTCTCGACGAGATCAAGGACAACCAAAACACGAACGTGACCCAGCAAGACAACAAAGATTCAATAAGTATAGTACCGTGGCCAAGAAGTTCGCAGAGGCAATTTATGCTTTCGAGTAGTCAAGGAAAATATCGTCCATATACAAAGAGATTGAATTAACTCACTGTCTTTTTTTCCCCCAGGGAAAAATTTCTCGTGCATTATCAGTCAATGGAAGGGTCTCTCTTGGAGGCGAATGCCGTTGGAGCGGTGGTAGTTGCTACAAAACTGCTGATACTGTAAGGAAAGAAAAATTGCACAGTAACTTTTCAGTTTCTTCATCATTCAAGTGTTAGATGTACTCTATAAACTTTTTGCCGTTGGTCTGGTCCCTACCTGTTGACAAAATGGCGGCTTGTACCTCTTGCTCCGTGTCAGAGATTGCAACCCTGCTAATTTTTCACAAAGCTGTTCCAAAATCCACGGATTTCTGAGCTTTTCCGTGATTAGCACCGTCATACGTTTGTGGGTTTTCCGTGATTAGCACCGTTATACGTTCGTGGGTTTTCCGTGATCAGCACCGTCATACGTTTGTGGGTTTTTAATTTATCACGACTTCAATCAAGTCAAAACTTATTTGGATGATGTCTTTAAACATTAGTCTTCTTAAAATTTTTCTTGTCAATTATCCTCTTGTTAAGAAGATGAGGGCCTACCGTTCTCGCTTTGCATTTAGGATAGAAAAAAAAAATTGAACGCCTCGTCACTGTTCCGCGGCAACAGTGCGCCAACAGTGCTCCTTCTTCCTCTCTTCTTATATTTTTTTCCTTTTTTGACGCATCACTAATATAGGTTACTCTTAGCAAAGACTGGAGAAGCTCAGATACGCAATTGGAAGCTGGAGCATTCGTCAAGATTACAGTGATACCCAAAATCTCAGTGAAACTGCCAGCGTCTTCAAAATCGGGATCAAAATCAATCAAGTCATCCTTTTTTAGTTTTTTCGACGATTTAGGTGAGATCACTCAAACAATTCTTTCGTGCGGCCTACTTCTATCCAAATTTAACCAAAGTTCCTGATTCATTAGTTTAGGTAGAGTTTACATCAGGTAAGGTGCAGATAAGCGATAGTTGCATTCGAATTTTTGTTTTGCTTAGTGGACGCAAAACGCTCTCGCCTTACATCAACTCAATCAATTTTTTTCTTGAGAATAATCGGCTCTCCAACTCTTTAGACCAATCACAAGGCGAACTAAAGCAAAATCGATGCAATTTCGGAATACCTTTGATTCCTATTTGGACATTGCTCTGTTTTCAATACTATGGTTACCTCAACCATACGTTCTAGTCTTATAATGGGGTTTCATCATGACCATTGCAAATTCCTCAAATGTTATTGGTGCATTTGCAGCCTCATTTTTCACTCATCATTCTGCACAATTGTATAGTGCAATCGGATAATTGGCTGTATTCAGACACCTGTAATCGGACATTTAAAGCAGAGAATCATACAAGGTCCGCTCTGCTAAATCCACCAATCACAGAATTGATCGCAATAAGCAAAGCAACAGCAACTTATCCAAAAAAAAATGGCTGGGGAATTTCAAAAATGGAAGAATTTTTAACTAAAGACATTATCTCCTCTGGAGAGATTTGCTCTGGGTGTATTTCTTGTTTTCGGAAATTTAAATGGTTATGATTAATTGGTAACAGGACTCCTTGTCATCCAATCCTGTGATTAACAAATTGGATTCCCGCTTCGCGGTCGTCCGATTTTGTTTATCAGTGATATGATTACAGACCGAATTGGACTCCATTCGGTCCTATTGTCATTATTAATAAATATAATTTTGTTTCAGTTGAAGCTGGTTTTGAGTATGTTGACCTTTCCATGGCGGTATTTGTGAGCGTACCACTAGAAGCTGGTCTGGCCATACGGCTTCCTACGTCTCATTGCAGTGGGAACAAACCCGCTGAATTGGAAAGCCTCTACGGAATTTCCGGTGTAAATCTCGGTGTCTCGGTTGGATTCCTTAAAAAACATTTGACACTTGAACTTCCTTTGGGATATTCTCAGAGTAAACGCTATTGGTAAAAAAATTCACGTTTTATACAAACAACTTGACTCCTGACATATATAATAGTGACGCGAAGAAGTAACTGTCATACACTCACTTTTGTTAATGAAACTAACTGCCCAGATTGCACGGGCAAAAGGACGCTATAAATGAGAAAAATGATTTCCCATACCCTTGAAAATATAATGAAAATGCTAATTAACAAAGTAAAATCTTCCCTAACTAATGGAGGTAAAAGAAACATATATTCTAAAGAGAAAATCACTTCCCTCGTTCTTTTCGCATGAAATACATAAAAACGTGTTTAGAAAATAGAAACAACAATAATGATAAAGTGAATTAGGAAAATTCTGTGTTACTTCTTAGCTTTAGGAAAGAAAACTAGACCCCTTGTTCTGCTCGTAAGTAAGAGAGCGCAAGAATGTAAATGGGTAGATAAGTGAGTAGATAAGAAAACGGACCTTGTAAAGATAAGTGAATGGCGGACATGACTTCCGTTTTTATTAAACTATTTAATCAATATTTAACTGTTCTTTCCTAGGGATTGTATATGTCCAGTCAAAATTGAGAGAGTAAGTTATTATAACTATAACTTATACGAGTTTGCCATCTTTTAAAATTTTACTTTTCAATTCTATTCCGCCTGCCTTTTTTTCCTTTGTAGTAAGCGTCCTTCGTGTAACGTTATTTTGTTAGTTTTAAATATAATTTGCATCTTCTTTGTAACAGTTATGTGTGGGACCTCCACCACCGCGACCGAGACCACCCGAGAATGAAAATCCAAAACCTGGGAATGGCAATCCAACACCTGAGAATGGCAATCCAAAACCTGGGAATGGCAATCCAACACCTGAGAATGGAAATCCAACACCTTGGAATAAAAGTCCAACACCTGAGAATGGCAATCAACCATCGAAAAATGGGTAAGAGTGCTGATTATTCTTTCACATAACGCGTTATAGCCCGTAGGAAGCCTGGGGCTTCAAGCGTGTAAATAACTTTCCGTTCCCAAATACTGTTGTTTGCTTGGTCTTAAAGTGATTTTTAGCCTCATAAAGGAAAAAATGTGCTGAAATGATCATGTCACTTCAAAAGAGGTTGGTTGAAGCTTTGCTAGAGATATAATTAGTTGGAAGAATATTGCAGCAATAATACAACTGACTGGCCAACTGGCCGACCAGCCATTTGGCTGATAGGCTGAAGAAATGACGGATTAATTAACTGATTGATTGACTGATCGACTAGCTGGCTAACTGCATAACAGATCCAGCAGCTGATTGACTTACTGACCGATTGACCGACTGGCCGACGGATGAATTCATGGATTCATTATTCATTTACTTTCTCGGAAACAGAAAGACTGGAAAATATCCATGTGGAGAAGGATCTCTCTGTGTTGGTGAACGAACAGGCCGTGACTGCGATCAGCCACATAGAGGGCTTCTTCGGAGTATGTAACAGTAAATGGACCTGTAAACTATGAACCTAATTGCAGTAACGTTATTATGGAAAAAGCAAAAAGAAACAAAGAAAAACCAAATTCAAACCAATTGGCATATAGCGTAAGCATATGTCATCAGCATTACAATTTGATTATTGACAATAATTACTCAGCTGGGCCCAGTTGTTTTGAGGGGCGATTAGCGCTGATTCAGGCTTAAATTTCAATCCAGGTTTCTTTATTTCTTTTTTCAAAAGCCTGTAAGGAAAATTTTCCCATTCTTCTTGGAACATCCAATTATCAAATTGCAAGCAAAAAGATTTGAACTAAATTTCCTTTTAAAGAATAGCTGCC